ATGAGAGGGGCCAGTCCAGAGACAGTGAGGGGGCTGCTATAGAGACTGACAGCAAAGGGGGTGGGGGGGGCGGTATGCAAAACCAGGGGAGAGTAGCAAAGAAACAAAAAAGGGAAGCGGCTGAAAAAGAATACGAGGCGATAAAGGCAGGGAAAGGAGCAGACCGGGAAACGTGTGAGGGGCTAGACCAGGAAGCCAGGGTGAGGGGCAGAGTGAGACTGAGGAGAGGAGAGAAGAGAAAGAAACCAAGCCTGAGCTGAGGGAGAGCCCAGATCTGGAAAGCAGAGAACACACGATATGTCTCCCTCCCACCCTTTTTCTGGCCCAGCTGGAGCGGAAGATGAAGGACATCGTGCTGGACATAATCGAGAACTATCACAAGTACCCAGATGCTTACAGCACCGCTGAGAACTGGGATTTTGTGCAGTTTCAGGTGGGAGGCCCAGACCCGGACACCTGTCCCCTGACCACCCCCTGCCACCATGTCACACAACTCTAAACCGGCGTTTCCCTGTGACCCTGAGAGCTCCTTCCTGTGCCCCTGGCCCTGAGAGTCCTTTGGGACCCTGGCCCTGAGGGGCCCGCGGGGAGCCCTTGACTGTGAGTGAGCTCTATCTCCCTGTGACCCCGACCGCTGTCTCCAGCTTCGCTGCTGCGGCTGGACCTCCCCCCAGGACTGGCTGCTGGCGTCCTCCCTGAGGTCCAATGGCTCGGCCCCCATCGGCAGTGGAAAAGCCTCCACCGTCTCCCCGACGCCGAACAGCGACTTCTTGCCGTCATCCCAGACGTCTGGGCAGCTTCTGCGTGTGCCCTGCTCCTGCCAGAACACTTCGGTGATAATGTCCACCCCCCAGAGCCCTGCGGATGCCCCTAGAGCCAGCCAGCCTGCAGCTGGGCCTGCGGCTCGGGCCACTGTGGTCTCTGTCCCGGGCATGCCTGTGGTCCTGCCGGGTCCAGGCAGCCCCGGGACCCCTGCCCGACTGCGCTCGGGCGAGCTGTGCTCGATGCCCGCAGATAGTGGAGTCTATCAGGAGGTGGGAGCTCCAGGAGGGCCCAAGGGGACGGTGGGGGAGGACTGTCAGAAGCTGGAAAGAGGCCGGTGGCTGGAGCTGGGATGGGGTGGGCGGAGCGGAGTTGGGAGGGCCGGGGTCCCCAGGGGAGGGCAGAATTTACCAGAGCTGCGTGACTCCCTCGCCCACCTCCGCAGGGCTGCTCTCGGAGTGTCTACACCTGGTTGCACAACAACCTCATCTCCATCGTGGGCATCAGCCTGGGCCTTGGGCTGCTCGAGGTAAGGACCCCGTCCCCCAGCGGGAGCGCCCTCCTGGGGCTGGGGACCCGCTCCTCCCCACCTCTCCCGAGCCTGGAGCTCCCCACTCCCCGCCCTTCTCCAAGAGATGCCTTGTCTTTTTCTCCCATCTCTTGACAATTCGATTCTCCATGAAAGCCTTCCCGCTCCCTCCCAGATCCGCCCAGATTGTTCGCTCCTTGGGAGGGTGGGAGACAGCAATCACTCCCCTGATTGGCTGTGGGATGGAAAGCTCGTCTTCTCCCTCTTGGCTGAGCGAGGAAAGGAAGCGGCCTTTGGGAACTTGGGCTGAGGCAGGTCGCGAACACCCATTGTCTCTTAGCTGAAGTAGTTCCCGATTGACCAAAGATGGGGAGCCAGGGAGGGTCCTGCCTCACGTACCCTTGGTCAATGAACCCCAGCTCCGATGGCGGTGAGGAGTGAGAAGAGATCCTCCCCAACGCAACTACTGTAGGAGCGGATTGAGCTTCGATTGGTCCATGTAGGAGCGGACCCATCTCCAGTTCTCTTTCCAAAGTCCTTCCCCATTGAGCTCATTAGGAGCCGGACTTAGCCAATAGCGATGGGAAAGGGATGGGAAAGCTGAAAGCTGAGGATGGGGGGTCAGAGCAGAAAGAGACCCTCCCAGGACTGGTCGAGGTGGGAGCGAGCCTAGGAGTGGACAGCCAGATGGCCCTTCTCCCCTGTGCCAAGATGTGCTCGGGCACAGCCCAGGTTGGATGAGCAGGCCCAGCGCCTGCTGACTCTAGTGTCCCGTTGCAGATGGCGGCGTTGGGGCTGACACTGGTGCTGCTGCCCCACGCCCGCGCCTGGGGCTCCCCGCTCGAGGGGCTGGAGGGAGAGTCATCTGCGGCAGGGGGGTGCGGGACCTGCAGTTCCGGGACGCCTTCGTCCACCTGGGGCAGGGCATGCGGGTGCGCTTCGTGGGGGTCCCAGGCGCCGAGCCGCCTGCCCACAATGGTGGGTCGCTGGCTGCCGCGACAGCGTCAGGCCTCGAGGCCTTCGACAGTCTGGTCCACCTGCCGGCTAGAGCCCCAGGGCTGCGAATAAAGGATCAGCTCAGCCCCAGGACCGGCAATGCCCTGCTTCTGTACCCGGCCGCCCTGCCTCTGACCCCTCCCCCTGCGTCTCTGTTTCTGTCTGCGAGCCCTCACCCGCAACCATCTTTGTCCCTAGCCCATGACAGCTCCACCTCTGACCCACCCGTGTCTCCTTCCTCTCTCCCTAGCTCGGGGTCATGTCGCTCTCGATGTTCCTCTGCAGGAACCTGGATCACGTCTACAACAAGCTCTCGAGATACTCTTAGACAACCCCCTCCCCACCCTATGCCACCTGAGACCCCGAGTCCTGCCCCCAGGACCCTCTCATCTTTCCTGAATCAACCACATTCTCTCCCCCATACCGCTCTCTTCCAGGGCATCCTGGAGTCCTGCCCCGATGCTTCCTCTTCTCCCAGCTCCCTTTCATCCACTGCAACCCTGGGACCTTGTTCTCTAACATCCCTCTCTCTTCTTGGTCCAGCCAGGTCCTTTCCTGGAGCACCCTAGAGGGCTGCCTAGGCACCCAGCGACATTGTGTCCCCACCCCATCTCTTCCCAAGGATCCTCCAGCATCCAGTCTTTGAGTTCCTCACCCCATAGTGTTCCATCCTCAGCAGTGTCGGAAGGTGGTGACCATTGGTGTCCTGCTTTAAAGGTTCCACTGGTTGATCCCAGTCTTTTATGCTCCATCCTTGTCTCATCCCACAGGGAGCCCTGATGTCTGAGCCCCAGAACCCTCTTCTCTACCATCTCCCTTAGCATCCTAGCTCTCTCTACTACCCTAGTGTCCTTTCCTCCACCCTTCTCTTCTCTCTCCAGGGATTTTAGTGACCACCATAGCCTCCCTATTTTCTTGCTCTGGACTATCGTATCCTCTTCTTTCTGGACACCTCAACATTCAGTCCCTCAGTCCTTTTTTTTTTTTTCCTCCTGGGGAAACTATCATCTTATCTCCCAATCTTTTCTCCTCTATTCTGGAATCTTAGCATCCTATTCTCTAGCTCCCTCCCTGTTTTCTCACTTTCTTGTGTCCTGTCTCCCTTTGCTCCTTTTCTACTCTCAGGGACCCCATTATTCTCTTTCTTACCCACCCTAGGTACACCAGTGCCCTGTCCTTCAGTTCCTTTTTACCTCCTGCAGCTCCCAACATCTTGTCACACAGTCTAATTTCTTTCCTTCTTATCCATTTTCCTTTTCAATTCTTTTTCTGTCCAATAAATCTTGAGCTCTGGGTAAGGAATAAAAATCATTTAATTTGCTGGTAAAGCGGACTCTGTAGAGGAAGGTGTTCGTTGGCTCCTGGCTGTCCCTAGAAGATCACTGGACTTTCTTCCCTTACCAAGACAGGACTTCTCAACCCAAGCTGCCAACCCATTGGAAGGCCAAGGAGAGGAAGGGAGCAGCCTGGGGTCATTTGTAGGTGGAAGACCTTGATGGGCTCCAGTATTGGACAAAATCTGGTCAGAAGAAATGTGACAATAAATATTGTCTTATACTTGGGTTAAAAAAAAGTCAGCATCAGAAAGATGAAATGTGAGGGGACCTAGGCAGTAGTTAGTTTGAAAACAATCTGGAGTTTCAAATGGACCGTCTCTCCAAGGTGAGTCAACAGTGTATTATTGTCACCACAAAAGCTAACACAGTCTCAGGCTGTAGGCA